TTTTGTTTGCAGTTTTAATGAGTTTCAAAAAATTCACAAGTAATGCTGTGTTGAAGCCCAGTTTATAAGTATTAAATTCTGTTTGAATTAAAATCAATTAAACTAAATGATAATGAAGATAGATTTACTTATGCTTAGTGAGGTGCTAATTAGAATTATTATGTAACATGAAAGTCAAATATCAAAGGATTTTTGAATGGCTTGTAATTTACTTATTATTTTACATTAAATGAAATTTATAAAAAACATTTTTGAAATAATCCTAAAATAAAATAAAAATTAATGTTCTCATAGAAACTTTACATTTTGAACAAACTTTAATTATTTTATTCAAAGTTTTGTCTCAAATTAATGATATTTTTTCAGATATATACCATTAATTTATGAAATATTATAGAAATTATTAAATATAAGTAAAATTCGTCAATAAATCAAATGTGAAAAACAATTTTTTGATAAACAATCTGTTTTCACTAATTTAATTTACTGGGATTAAATATAATTACGTTTAAATATAATTAATTAAAACTATTTAGTTATCAATAAACTACACACTGTATTGTAAAAAATTTTAATTTTGAAATGGATTTAATTAAGAAATATGTCGATGAAAATGGGAGACAACTAAACATATAGTACATGAAATCAATGATCATCTAAATTGCAATCATCACAGTATTATGACATCAATGATAAGCTATTCATTGACCAAAATATTGGTATAAACGAGTCGTCCATTGAATTAGAAATCATATCCAATAGAAATAACAATANAAACTTAATTTTAGTTAATTTGATTTACTATTACTTCTATCTAAATGAATACGAATCACTCCACGATTAATCTTAATAATAGTAACATGAAAGTCAAATATCAAAGGATTTTTGAATGGCTTGTAATTTACTTATTATTTTACATTAAATGAAATTTATAAAAAACATTTTTGAAATAATCCTAAAATAAAATAAAAATTAATGTTCTCATAGAAACTTTACATTTTGAACAAACTTTAATTATTTTATTCAAAGTTTTGTCTCAAATTAATGATATTTTTTCAGATATATACCATTAATTTATGAAATATTATAGAAATTATTAAATATAAGTAAAATTCGTCAATAAATCAAATGTGAAAAACAATTTTTTGATAAACAATCTGTTTTCACTAATTTAATTTACTGGGATTAAATATAATTACGTTTAAATATAATTAATTAAAACTATTTAGTTATCAATAAACTACACACTGTATTGTAAAAAATTTTAATTTTGAAATGGATTTAATTAAGAAATATGTCGATGAAAATGGGAGACAACTAAACATATAGTACATGAAATCAATGATCATCTAAATTGCAATCATCACAGTATTATGACATCAATGATAAGCTATTCATTGACCAAAATATTGGTATAAACGAGTCGTCCATTGAATTAGAAATCATATCCAATAGAAATAACAATAAGAGATTAAAGTACCGGTTATGACAGTAAACTTGCGGTCAATTTATTTACAAAAAAAGTACATATAAGGCTCGGGATAATAGGATATAATACCATCATGGTTATTTTGGACTGAAAACAAAATTGTTTTTTGAATCTTATATAATAAATCTGAAATTTTAAATCAAATCAAGACTACTGGATGACATTTACTTATCTATTAATTAACTTAAATTTCACTTTTATTTTTGTTATCCATACATACAAGCTTAATTCAATCAAATGTCAATTTTATATAGTTTTAATTTTTAAAACTAACTAATTATACCCAAACTTTACAATTATACATTATACAGTATTTGCAAATGCTGCACATTAGTTGATTTAAATTTATTTTAATGCAACATAGTGATACAATTCATTATTCAATTATAATAACATAATTTTAATTAAAATATGTTTTAAAGTTTACTAAATATAACTAACTTATCAGAATGTTAAATAGCATATATTAAACTGAAAAATTGTTTATAAAAAGATAGATGTATTGAATGAACACAACTATTGACAAAATACCCCAAAGAATTTGAATAAAATTCAATGTTTGTTTGGATTGAAATGAAAATTTAATTTAAAAAATTTAAAAAATAAGAATCAAAACTCGGAGAAAGCGAATAAGTCTTGAAAATTAGATTTTCACACAAAATACAAAAAATAAATAAAATAAAAAATAAACGGAAATCTCTCCCATAAGAGACTTGAGATTAGAATAAATTATTATTTTCAAAAAACCTTTTATTTCATTTCATGGAAAACAATGTTTGAATAAGAAATGAAGAATATTTCTACTTTTATAGTAAAAACTTAATATTTGGAAAAGTACTACTCAAATAGTTTAAATTGTAATTAAATACAGCATATCAAACATGATGTGCCATAACTGTGCGAATACTTGTGAAATGTAGAAATCCAGTACCGAAGCGAACCTATAGCTAACCCGTGGCCTTACATCTCATTCAATGCATTATTTAGCGAAACAAAACTTCATTTTCTTATTTCATAAAAGAATTGCGAATTCCTATGAGAGTGTGAGTGCTGTTTTTAATCAAAATATTTTTAATTATATTTCCAATAAAAATAATTTATGTTTACATTTCAATAAACGAATGGGAATTGAATGGGAAGAGAGAAATCAAATCAAATATTAGTGAGTCGTTTGCCACACGAGGCGTACGAGTGAAGCAAATAATGGCTCATATTATCAATGATTTGACACCAAAAAAGTGGCGAAATGTGTGAAAATCTGTGCGAAATGTCGTGAAAATTGGTTTTGCTGTAATCCCATTAAAATTTTTGTTCACAAAAATGTTTGACTCGATATTAAACATTAATATGTTTGCGATCTCTTCACAGTTTGCTGTTTGATGTGCTGGTGATGTAAGCCGTGCCATACGAGTGGCACCAGTAGTCAGCGTAGGCTCTGGTGTCTTACACGGCGTTATGCAACAGTTTTATTGGATTGGAAGCGCAGTTGGCTTTAAGTTTTTGGCGTCTATACGTTTGACACATTGATAATTGCTTTGTCGGCTACCAGTGCTTACCAGTGCCACTGTTATCGCTGGGGAATATTGTGAGGGCTTTCCAAATAAATAACTTTAGTTTTTCGAAATACTAGTCAAACAAAACAATAGGAATAACTCATGAAATAGTATTTCTTTCCAACACTCGGTTAACAAGTTTTCATTCATTTCACAACAAAAACACTTATACTATAGATTCAAAAGTCACCGCAAACTAGGACTCAATTGAATACCAATTTACTTGTGTTGTCTCCAACAGAATCCAACATAATTACCAAAATATTTTTTGTACCAGTGTATATTATTGATTTAATTCAATATTATTTATTTCATACATGTATATCAATAGTCAATCAATATATTCTTTAACTTAAATTTTAAAACTAATAATACATTTAAGTTTTAGTTCAATGTATAAAACTAATGTTTTCATCTAGTTCACAAAAAGCCTTTCAGCTTAACTTTTAAAGGTTGTCGATATTCTAGGATATGTCGGGATTCAAAGTTTACACTTGGTTTTACTGTCGTGAGTGGACATAGGAGGTGCATTAGTTATTATTAATATAAAAAGTAAAAATAAATTTCTAAGATTTGAGCAAATTAATTTTTACTATAAATGACCCGTTACCATTTCTTTGTTTAGTCATTATACAATTCTACGAATAAGTGTGATAGTTCTCATTAATATACGTATAATGTATTGTACCGTAAAAATACAAATATCAATATTTTATTAATTATTAAAACACTAAATAATTTAAATACTTAAATGATTGACAGTGAATATAGCATAGAAAATAAATTTTGTTTTGTTTTTAGTTACATATGATTACTTACGAATAACGAATACTCTAATAACGAATTATTTTTACAAAAGTTTGAATGTCAGATCAGACCACCATTACATTAATAAAAAATTTTAGTATAAAATAATAAATTAAATAACATTTTATGAAAAAATTGTTTGAGAATTGGAATAAATAGAGGAATGAATGAAAAAGTGATGTGAAGTGGGAATACACGGAATATTCTGTTAAATCAATTCACCCCTAATTGTGTGCACAGAGACTACCAAACAAGAGTACAATATATAAAATATTTACTGTTTAAGCAAATGTATACATATTTGATTATATTCATCAACAGAATCCATTAAATGTACAAGATCATAAATTCTTGGACCAATTCTAAGAATTACTCTAAAAATCCTTTACTCTATAGCCATCTGTTGACAAATTGTGTAACGAAGCAAAGTTTGAAAGATTACCAACAAATGTATAAACAATTGATTGAATTTATAATGCATTCAATGAATTGATTGAGTTTTACAATAATGGCATTCAAATGAATGCCAGATAAGGATTAGCAATGAGTGCCTATTATGTCATCATTGAATAGTTTGTGGCATATCTATGATCTTAATGCATGAATTTAATAGCATTCACATAACTCACGCATATATCACAATAATTAATTGAAATCGTGTTACATTTAATTGTGTAATAAATAAAGTGCATGAAAATCGAGAGTATTTGAGAAGGTACAAGGTACATTTGAAACTCTTTTTATATTACATAATAAGATAATATTTTATTTATAAGTTGAGTATTATTTGTTTTGATAACTTTTGAGATTATTAGTAGGGTATATTAGAATTGCCTATTAACCTAAGACATACAAATATCTTGGTCAATGTATTGTAATTAGCAATTACAATGTAATGTAATTATCATAATATTATTATATGTTTCATAATAATATATAATGAGTACAGAAATAATATAATAAAAGTTTTTTGAATTAACAAGAATTTCATGATTTATCACATATTATAAGAATGGATTCATTTTCACAAGATTTTTGTGGCACAAAACTTTGGGTAATTGACAGTTATTTTTGTCTGTTATTTGACTCCTTATGAGAAACAACTTACAGTATTCTTATGCTATATATAAAACGGCCTAATTGTGGGAAAGGACCCCAACTTGACCTGGTATTCAAACACACCTGACTTTACACTATGCTTCCAAGAGACAGCACTCGTATGGTTTCCCATACTATTCCTATGGATATTCTCCTCCTATGAATTGTACAGAATCGCCAACACATGTGATAATCCCATTCCTTGGAGTGCCTTAAATGTGACCAAAATTGTGAGTCAATTATTTCTTTGCGTTTATTCAGAGCTATAAATCAATCAAATGTATAATTTGGAGATTTAATGAGTTCTTTGTATAATTATATCCTTACGAGTCAGCGCTTTACCAATCATTTAGCCATAAAAGCATTTAATTACAAATACCTCACAATAACGTTCAGAATAAAGGAACTTAATCTGTATAATGACTTGTATTTATTGTTATTAAGGAATATTTATTTGCACATTACAATATCTAACTCATTTAATTATATTCAAATGCTTACATTATTTTCTACAGTATATTTAATAACGCTTTAACTTATAATAGACCAAATAAAACTTGTTTATAAATTGACGATTTAATCCTTTTATTTAAAATATTTTACTTTTTAAAGTTTGACAATCAGTTTCTAATTGTATATGGAAATTTTGATTTTGTGAAAAAACAGATTTTGTCAATCATATTGGTGATATTGAGTTTGCTTGATATAATCCATGGGTTCATTTCATTGTATTATTGGCCGGAATCCACATATCCTATCCTATACACCACTCCTATTCTCAAATTCATTACATTTGTAAGCTTTTATTTATTGATAACTTCTAATTTTATTCAAATAACAGTAATATCAAAAATATTGTATAACTTTGTCTACAGATCCTGACAATATTTATCTTATATTTCAATCGAGTGAAAGGATTGAACAGATCTGTTATATTATTTTTCTTCTGGCTATTTATGTCAATATCCGGTGCAATCACTTGTCGGACATTACTGTTGATGACTTTCTCCAATGTATTTATTTAATTATTTAATTTAAAGTTATGGTAATTATGGTAAAATTAAAATCACTTAAAGGGTGAATACGACGGCAATACCGATGATTTCAGATTCTGTACTAAACTGGCGTTTGTGGCCATCGTTTTCATACAACTCATTCTTTCGTGTTTTATAGACACCGGTCCTGTCATACAAAAAGTAAATTTATTCATATTATATAAAATAAGTATCTGAAGTAGTTTTAAATTCTAAATGATCTGGCACATCTTAAAAATAATGTTTTATATAAAAGAATGGAAGTCCAGAATCGTGGGCATCAGTGCTCTCTTTATTGACGTTTTGGTGGATGAATGCAATGATATTCTTAGGCTATAAAAGAGCGCTCACTTCCGATGACTTGTGGCCTCTGAACGAAGAAAATACAACAAAATATAATTCAGAGCTATTTAATCAACGTTTACAACAAAATCAAAAGACAAACCGAAAGGAAATTCTTATACCAATTCTCACCACTTATTGGTTTTATATAGTTTTGATGATTGTATTGAAGTTAGGCCTCAGTTTCCTTCCGTATGTCAACCCAATGGTACTTAATTGGCTCATAGACTACATGAGCGAAGGAAACACTGATCCTGAATGGCGTGGATATCTCTATGCAGTCATTATGTTTATGTCACCTATGATTGAATCAGTGCTTAGCAGTCAGTATGACTTGGGCACCGGTGTTACGGCCTTACGAGTGAGATCTTGTATTACAAATGCTATTTATAGAAAGGTATATATTTTTGATTACGGCTTTAGTTTGAATGCTCTTAAGAGACATCCTATTCCGTGTCAATCAATATAAAACAGAGTCTCCGGTTGTCGGGCGCCGGAAGAAATGAGTTTACAATCGGAGAGATTATAAATCTAATGGCAATCGACACGTCCAGAGTTGCAGAGTTGGTTCAGATAGTGAACGAGACGTGGTCTGCGCCCCTCCAGATCATGTTTGCCATGTATTTATTGTGGCAACAGTTAGGCATTGCATCCATCGCTGGTATGTGACTAAAGTGAAAACAAGTCATATATTGAGGGAATATTGTGTTCAGGTCTGGCGGCTATGATTTTCTTGATCCCCGTCAATGGCTTTATATCAGGAAAGTTACGTTTCATTACAAACAGACTCATGAAATACAAAGACAAGAGAATCAAATTAATGAACGAAATATTGAGTGGCATTAAAGTGTTGAAACTATACGCCTGGGAGTCATCCTTTGATGAACAAGTTATGCATAAACGCAAGCATGAGATCAAACAGTTAACCACAAGAGCCTACTTAATGGGTGCCATGATTTATGTCTTCTATTTGGCTCCATTTCTGGTCAGTTATTGTCACCGATTATAGCTTTAATTAATTAATCAAATGTATGGTTTAGGTGGCGGTCACTAGTTTTGCCACTTTTGTCTTCGCAAGCGATTCAAATGTGTTGACCCCTCAGAAGGCATTTGTTTCGCTCGCACTCTTCAATCAGATGCGGTTCCCATTGAAGGACTTCCCGCGACTTATTTCTTTCTATGCTATGGTTTGTTGATAACTGAATATTTTATTTCATTAATTAATTTGCATAACCATTATAATGCTTAGTTTTCAGTCTCACTGCAACGGATTAATAAATATATGTCCGGTGATGAGATAGACTTCAAGTCTATAACACATGACAGTCATAGCAGCGACGCTATAGTTGTAGAGAAGGCATCGTTTTCATGGAGTAAATCAGAAAATGCAATCCTTTCTGATATATCGCTAACGGTTCCAAAGAATAGGTTAATAGCAGTGGTCGGTCAGGTCGGAGCGGGAAAGTCATCGCTTTTAAGCGCCCTTTTGGGTGATATGTTTAAAATAAAGGGCAATATTAACGTAAACGGGAGTATAGCGTACGTCCCTCAAGAGGCCTGGATACAAAACGCAACTCTCAAACAGAATATTATTTACACGAGTGTTGAGAATGAGAGTCGACTTAACAGAATCATTGAGAACTGCGCTCTTCTTCCGGATCTGGAGGTACTTCCGGGCGGACACAACACGGAGATCGGGGAAAAGGGCATCAATCTGTCGGGTGGGCATATATTGAGCACTGTATCACAGATTTATAATTATATAATTTGTTTGCAAACAGGGGGTCAAAAACAAAGGGTATCGATAGCCAGAGCTTGTTATTCTTCAGCCGATATCTATCTACTGGACGACCCATTGTCTGCATTAGACGCCAATGTAGTTAAACATGTTTTCGATGCAATCATTGGACCAAATGGTATGCTTAGAGATAAAACAAGAATTCTGGTGACCCATAGAATATCAGTATTGTCTGAATGCGACCAAATTGTGGTCATGAAAAACGGACTCATTTCGGAAATCGGTTCTTATAATCAATTGTTACAAAATAAAGGAGATTTTGCAGAATTTCTTATATCTCACACCAATGAAGTAAATGGAGAGGAAATGGACCAATTCCTACCTACTGATGAAATAATCAACAAGGATAGCATTATTACTACTAAAACCTCTGACAGATTATTAAGAGCCAGTAATGCGTCAAAAATAAGTACAAACAAAGAGATCAAATCAAAAGAAGAGATGAAGAAAGTGTCAAAATTGATCGAAAAAGAAACGTCTGAAACCGGATCCGTTAAGATGAGTGTCTATCGAGAGTACCTTCAGAAGATTGGATTAGTAAGTGCGGGCACTGTGTTGGTGGCCTATATAGCGGGTACTTCTTTCAATATAGCGTCGAGTCAATGGTTATCCCTTTGGAGTGATGACTCCAATGACCCCCAAAGAGCCAATGATATTAGACTCAGAAATATACGGCTCGGTGTTTATGCTGTGTTGGGGTCGGCAGAGTCTATATTCCTGTTCATATCGACCCTAACATTGAATTTGTCGGCTATAAGAGGCGCCCGAATACTTCACAACGACATGTTGAGCCATATGTTTCGGGCGCCGATGTCTTTTTTCGACACAACACCTATGGGACGGATATTGAATCGATTCGCTCGAGATATCGATGTTTTGGACACTTTGCTGGACACAAATATAAGAGTGATGTTAACACAGGTCTTCCGAGCGCTCTCAGCATTTGTGGTGATGGCCATCGAAATCCCAATAGTATTAGTGTTTGTACTGCCCATTGGACTCATATATCTGTTGGTTCAGCGCCTATACATTCCCACATCGCGACAGTTGAGGCGAATTGAGTCGACCACCCGATCGCCCATATATTCACATTTCTCAGAAACACTTACCGGTGCGACCAGTATTAGAGCCTATGGTTGCGTCGATAAATTCGTGGATGAATTCAACAAAAGGGTTGACTTGAATAACATGAGCTCTTTGACGGCACTTCTGGTCAGTTGTTGGCTTTGTATTCGTTTGGAATTTTTGGGATACTCTATAATATTCATTAATGCCTTATATGCTGTCATATTCCGACATTCAGTGAGTCCCGGAGCTGTGGGACTGACACTGAGTTATGCAATGATGATAACCCGAGCATTAAATTACTTGGTCTTAATCATCACTCAATTTGAGACCAATATTGTGTCAGTTGAGCGCTGTCTGGAGTACACACGCATTCCGATGGAGGTATTGTATTCACCAATGGATAACAATTTATTTTTTTATTACTATTAAAACTATTATTAATATTCTTATTATTTCTTAAACGGAAGGCCCTGTCGATGAAACCCGGGACAAAGCCATCTGAAGATTGGCCACAAAAGGGTTGCATTACTTTTGATAAGTATAGCACCAGATATAGAGATGGATTGGATCTGGTTTTGAGTGAAATATCATTGAAAATCAATGGCGGCTCTAGAGTGGGAGTAGTGGGCAGAACAGGTGCCGGCAAATCATCGTTTACTTTAGCGCTCTTTCGTATCATTGAAGCCGCGAATGGAGTCATAGATATCGACGGCATTGATATCAGTACTATAGGTCTGTATGATCTGCGGTCGCGACTAACTATCATACCTCAAGATCCGGTGCTCTTCACCGGCACTTTACGGCACAATTTGGATCCGTTTGATAAGCACTCAGACTCCGAAATATGGGAAGTGTTAGAGTTGTCTCATTTGAAACACTTCGTCGATTCGTTAAACGCCGGTCTCGATCATCAGCTGACAGAAGGCGGCGATAACTTGAGTGTCGGTCAAAAACAGTTGATATGTCTGGCGCGGGCACTGTTACGCAAATCCAAGATCATAGTGTTGGATGAGGCGACCGCTGCCGTCGACATTGAAACCGATGACTTGATTCAGGACACTATTAGGACTCAGTTTAATGAGTGCACTGTTGTTACGATCGCTCACCGATTGAATACAATTGTTGACTACGATATGATTGTTGTGATGAATGGGGGCGAGGTTGCAGAATATGATTCCCCACAAGAACTCCTAAATAACCCCCTGTCCATATTTCATTCAATGGCTAAGGATTCTGGACATATATAAAGGGTTTGGATATTGAGTAAAAATTTTTTAAACACATTATCTTTTCGCTAATCGTTTATACTTTTCATTTATTTATAACTATAATTACATTTTATTTTTAATACAATAATTATTTTAATACTGATTATTAAACAGTCGTTGAAATGAATATAATTTCCCGCACGTCCTCCTCAGACACCGATTCTATATTCTATTCTATGGCTAAAGACTCGGCACTTATGTAGATATCATTGGTTGCCATATACTGTAGAATGGATTCTATTAATTGGTTGCATTTAAAACTAAAATCTTCAGTATTTGATTCATATTTTTAACAATTTAACAAATTGTACAAAAAATTCATAAAATATTATTGGAATATAAACTTGTGATATTTAAATTACCGTGGTTACATTTTAACAAGGTTAATAACTTGAGAAATGTATTAATATTTGTTGGGATATTTTTATTCATTATTAAGTTAAAAATAAAAATTAGTTGTGAACTTATTTTATAAAATATTATTCAATAAATATTTACAAAATTACATACCGATAATTAGATTATTGTAATAACAAGTATCTAATTTAATAAAAATTAGGTATATATTGTATATACAAACAGAAATACAGCAATAGTTGTGCGGTAGCGGTATGTTTGTGTCCAACATTGCATGTTTGGATGCCCAGACATCTCTCACCAGTCGGCCGCTCCAGAGGCCAAGTAGTCTTTGCGGCCAACACTGGACGCCTGTTTGTTTTGCATGGCTTCCAATTTGGGACAATTGGTGATGCGATGTCCCAAACCTCCACAATAAGAACACCCCCTCTCGTCCCCCAAATCCAAGTACTTTTCGGACTCTGACTGAAGGGCTTCCAAAAACGGCGGCAACTTTTGTTTGGCTTCTATTAAAAGATGTTTTAAGTCTAACAGAACTGATTCATCGATAGACTTATTGATAAAAGTGGTGGCAATTCCTCGTTTGCCATAACGACCCGTTCGACCGATTCGATGGACATAGTCTTCGATATCGTCGGGCATATCGTAATTGACTACATGTTTAATCTCCTGAAAGTCGAGACCCTTAGAGGCGACATCAGTGGCCACTAACACATCCTTTTCACCTTTTCTGAATTCCGCGACAGCACGTGATCTCTCCTCTTGATCTTTGCCGCCATGAATAGCAACCGCTTCCACACCTTTAAGCAGAAGGTACTCATGAATGGCGTCGACGTCCTGTTTCTTCTCAGCGAAGACAAGGACTGGCGGTTCAGTCTTCTGGAGCGTATCCAAGAGATGCACAATCTTTGCCTCTTGTTTCACATACTCGACCTCTTGTTCCACTTCTTTAGAGGCAGCGCCAGCTCTTCCCACGTTAACAGTGATTGGTTTGACTAAAGCACTTCTCGCAAAGTTTTGGATCTTTTTAGGCATCGTTGCCGAGAACAGCAGAGTCTGTCTCTGGCCTTTGAAATACGAGAATATAGTCCTGACGTCCTCTTCAAAGCCCATATCAATCATACGGTCCGCTTCGTCCAGAACCAGATATCGACACACGTCTAGACCCACCGTCTTCTTCTGCATCATATCCATCAGACGTCCCGGCGTTGCGACCATTATATGGACGCCTCGTCTGATAATATCAATCTGTTCTTTGACTGAAACGCCGCCAATGCAGAGACACACCCGAAGGGACGGCAGTCCGCTGTGAGAGATGGCATCGCAATAGTACTGAATTATTTCAAACGTCTGTTTCGCTAATTCACGGGACGGGCAGATAATCAGACCATAGGGTCCCTCGTCTTTCATGAACGTGAGGGACATCTCCTGTTCCAAAGCGAACATAACGATCGGTAACACAAAAACCAATGTCTTTCCCGAACCGGTGAACGCAATGCCAATCATGTCTCGACCGGACAGTACGGCCGGCAACCCCTGCATCTGAATGGGCGACGGCTTTAAGATCCCCTTCTTCTTGAGTGCATTGATAACACTTTTGGGAAATTTCATGTCTTTGAAAGTCTTGATGGGTTGAGGCATGTCTTCGCCCTCAACGAGAATGCGATACTTCTCTCTGAGGGCCTCGTGTTTGGCGACCGGTGTGTCTCTGATATGTTTGGGAACTTTCCATCCGGTCTTAATTGGCTCGAAGTATTGGATCCCTTTCGCCAACTCCGACACAGCCATCAGCGCCTTCTTCTCGGCCACGCTCTCGAGGATCTTCTCCTCTTCCTTCAGCTGCTTCTCGATCGCCGACTCCTTCCGCGCCTCAAACTTCTTCTTGAGTTCGTTGTGTTGATCCAAAAGACTTATATTATATTTACGCCATTCGTCCAAATCGTCCGAAGGGTTGGCGCCGTTCGCCGACTCATCCTTTTTGGTGGTGTTGTCGTCGAAACCGGTCCTCGACTTCTCCTCATCGGTTGAGCCATAGTCTTGAGCCCTGGATGTGGTGTTGCTTTGTGTCAACCCTTTGCGTCTTTGTTTGACCGGAATATACGGCACGTAATCGTCGTCCGACTCTTCGGCCGCTTCTTCAGGCATTTCGCGTCGATATCGCTGTTAAACATATCAATCAATTGGTCACATGTTTGGATCAAATGGTGTGATAATCAGCACTTACTTTGATGACAGGCTTGTCTTGATTGGCGTCATTTGATTCACTCTTTCCACTCATTGTGTCTTAAGTTTGCGTTTAAATCGCGTTTCAAAACAATTGTAAAATCAAAACATTTCGCAAAATGTGTCCAAAAATCTCGATAAATAGTGTCGTTATTACTGTCAGAATCACTGCATAACACAAATTGTGTCCCTTTTCTCGGTCTAACACTTCACTGCAAAGTCACAGTTTTCAATGCATCTGTATTTTGCATTAAAAACATTAGAGTATTGCAGTGAAAGTGAATTTCAGGTTCTGTAGAGCGCCACTGAAATGCATAAGTGTTTCAATTGGGCTAACATTTCGTAAAGCATTTGAAAAACGCTTTAAAAACGTGTTTAGATTTGTTATGAAATGTGTTTCCATATGAATGTGAAGTGACTGAATGATTGAATACTAATTGAGTGCTAATCAAGTGTTTAGTCATTAATTGCTTAGAAATGAATGCATTTTCGACACAAAAGTTGCATAAAATTGATAACAAGAAGAGAAAAATCAAAGCATTTAGACCTATAGTACTGATATCAATGCCGTCGATATCTATGACTCCATTCGCGGCTTCAATGATACGAAAGAGCGCTAAAGTAAACGATGATTTGCCGGCACCTGTTCTGCCCACTACTCCCACTCTAGTGCCGCCATTGATTTTCAATGATATTTCACTCAAAACCAGATCCAATCCATCTCTATATCTGGTGCTATACTTATCAAAAGTAATGCAACCCTTTTGTGGCCAATCTTCAGATGGCTTTGTCTCGGGTTTCATCGACAGGGCCTTCGGTTTAAGAAATAATAAGAATATGAATAATAGTTTTAATAGTAATAAAAAAATCAATTGTTATCCATTGGTGAATACAATACCTCCATCGGAATGCGTGTGTACTCCAGACAGCGCTCAACTGACACAATATTACTCTCAAATTGAGTGATGATTAAGACCAAGTAATTTAATGCTCGGGTTATCATCATTGCATAACTAAGTGTCAGTCCCACAGCTCCGGGACTCACTGAATGTCGGAATATGACAGCATATAAGGCATTAATGAATATTATAGAGTATCCCAAAAATTCCAAACGAATACAAAGCCAACAACTGACCAGAAGTG